AAGATGTATTATTTGAGTATTATGTGCTTTGTGCTTAATTGTGCGACTTAAATGAATTAAGGATAAAAATAAGCATCAAAATGAAATGTTGGATAAGCCCGATATCGATACATGAAGACATAGTGGTCGTGACGAGGTTTCCGAATATATAAAGAATGTTGAAATCCAAGTTATAACGAAGAAGTTATGACCTGTCGAAGTTTCGCGATAGAACCGACACGACGCTGAATGACATAAAATACGAATTTAAGATAGAGCAATATCTAGCCTTAGTGATCTAAAATAAAGTCATAGAATATGTTAAACCGAGATCGTACATAAAAAGAACACCCAAATCTTACTTCGTATGAAGAAGTTACGATTTTTCGAAGTTTCAGCTTAGTAGTAGACAGCCATAAGTTAGAATATAAGATCGAGCGGATATTTAGCCAAAACTTTCTAAATGAGAATTGAAGATCTCATCAATAGTAATGCAACAACAGAAAGACAGACGAAAACGGACGTCAGACGAAGGAGTTATGATTTACTAACGGAGTTTTCCTGTTCCGACCTACTAAAAATAATATAATAAAAATAAAGTCAAAATTAGCCGACGGAGTCTAAACGAAAGTTGTATATCTTGTTTTTACCTACGCATGGATATAAAGAACGTCGCCAACGGAGCTCGTAAGCGAAAGTTATGAATTTCTGAAGTTCGGGGCGTGAACCCCAAGGTTGTGTCAGAGCTCACGATGTGAGCATTAGTGGATCACGAGGTGAACATATGATGGATGTCTTCCAGGGCAAGTGGCCATGACGAACGTAATGACGTATCGAGCTCACGAGGTGAGCATATGTAGCTCACGAGGTGAGCCTATGTGGCTCACGAGGTAAACCTAGAATTTTTGCCCTATAAATAGAATTCAAGGGGCAGCTAAGTTTGGTTGCTCATCTCTTACTCTCCCACTCCTGATACTCTCTCTAAGCCCTATTTTAACCCCCTGAAGCCTCGATATCATCCTGAGACCCGAAGCGAGTCCCAAAGCCCGAAGATCCCAAGAAGAAAAGAGTTTCCGAGCTGAAGTTCTACCTACAAGAAGCCTGGTGTGTGAAGATCTTCCAGATCTACTGAAGAATACTACTTCTGCAAGCCGTAGTGCTGTCTGATCATCTTCTGATCAAGTGAGTGTGTAGTTACTTTCTTCTAACGCATAATTATGAAGTATTTTATATGAAATACGTGTTATGTGTATATTTTGTTGTTATATGTGTGAATGTATATTCACATTCTTTTATTCTCTAGGAAATACGTGTTATGTGTATGTGTCTCATCTGTTGTTTGGAATATGTATTGAATGAGAATGCTATACAGTTTTTAAACTATGTATAAAAATATATATTTTTATCTACTAATATGTTGGGTAGAACATGAGTAGATATTTGATGTGTGATAAACAGATGAGAGGCCTCAATGTTGTTGTTGTTGTTGATCTAGTAATTCAGCGGAGTATGGATAACGACCACATACTCTTTCTAGACAGTCCTGTGGAACGCTAGCAGACTCATAACTTGTAGGTGTTGTGAACGATGTGTTCACCGATGTACTCTATCCCCCTCATGGTTGCCTTTAGGACATCTATTGTTGAGGAAACCCCTTGCAGTAATGTCTGTCCCAATGAAAAATCCTAGATTAGGTCCCTTGAGATAGATTTTGTTTTAGGGATGTAAAGTGAGGATAACGGGAATGGGTAATCGGGTAATTGTTGGTTGATGAAATTAAATATAATTATTTATTGTGGGTTGAAAACCCTATATGCTCACCAGGCTCCCAAGCCTGACCCACTAAGTTTATTTTTATTACAGGTAGTAGCGCAAGGGCATAAGATGGATGAATCATCAAGTTATGTTGTTTATAAGCCTGTATATGTATATAACTGTTGTATGGTTTGTAATATGTCGTTTATGCTTTTTGGTCTGTATCGGAACATGACATCCCGAGTTTTGATTATACAATGAAAATACATTTCTTGATGAAATGCTTTGATAAATTTATTTTATCATATTTTATTTTGGGAACAAATTCCGCAACTCTTTTAAATCAAAAGGATTTACTTTGAAATTATTTTAAAATCATAAATGAAACCGATCTTTTTTGACCATGATTTTGGGTATGTCACACTATACAATCCTAATCATATACAACTTTGAAAGCATACACTTAGCAAACAACTGAGCCGATATCAATTCCAAGTAATACATGGCATCAAGTTCTATTGGGCTATAATGCATCAGATAAATTAGACAATTCTATCATATGATTCCTGAGGGTATCCTTAGCCGTAATCTAGCATGCAGTTCTCATATCAAGCACACTAATCATAACACATAAGTATGGTTAACTTGGGAACCACTTACATGAGAGCTCGGCTGATCACACACGTCACACCCCCTCCTTTTTTATAAAACCTTTTTAGAATTTTTATTTTCTTAAGAAAATTATCATTTCCTCAGTTTGAGTTCTGACACACCCGTAAGTGTGCCCGAATCCTTAAACCAAGGTTCTGATACCAACTTGTAACGTCCCAAAATAGTAATAATTCTTTTCATTTAAAAGTCATTCAAATCATTCATTAATTGTTCGGAACCCATACAAATCATAGTATTAAATTACCAGAGTACAACTTATTTCAAATGCGGAAACCATAAGAGGAGGATGTTGTGACATCACACCGGGCCCTTCCCTTTAGAAGTGGATGTACCTGAAACTATAATCACAAACTATAAGCATAACGCTTAGTGATTTCCCCAAGTACCAAATACCGCACATGAAAGAAGATAAATGCTATGGGCTAAATCATAGTCAATCTGTTCAGTGTCGAGGGCCAAATCTTGGTCGTGCATACAAATGTCAGGGGCCAGATCCTAGTCTTTCATATAACTGCCAGGGGCAGATCCTGGTCTTCCATACAGATGCCAGGGGCCAGATCCTGGTCTTCCATATAATCATCATAAGGCATCCAAAATTCTACACAAAAAACAATGGGCCAACTTTGATGCCTTCGACCCATGTATCTAGTGAGGAAACTCACCTCAACTGCTGAGAAACCCAGATAAGTGCTCAGGCTGATGGACTAGAGAAATCCCTGTGCTAACTAAACAATAGAGTCCCAATTAATAATTGAGACATAACCTAAAACTAAAAACCTACAATACTTGCCTAATGTCCAAGGTCAAAAAGGGCCAAGTTGGACCTTTAAGCCCAATAAAATCCTAGGCCCAACCCCAAGTATCATCCAAGGTCTAATATGGGCCCAACATCAAAAGTGGCCCAACAACAAGTAAGTCTAAGGTCCAACCCAACAAGAAAGCCTAACGATTAAGGCCCAAAAATCACCCAAGTTGGGCTGGGTCATACGCTCGGCGTACCAACTAGTACGCATATCGTACTTGGCCGAAGTGGGAGGATCGCGACTGGGATGCAGTATGCGTGACGTACAGGGAGTTACGCTCGACATACGCACCCCTCATGCAAACCCATGCAAAATTTCTTAATGCCTTAAGACCATACGACCAAAACTTAGATCTAACCCCACTAAGACCCCTAAGGCCATAAAGTTGCAAACTTTATGCCTTTGCATGGCTACAAGAAGCCCAACACTAAAAACATAGCTTTCTTAACCCTTTTCTACACCGTAACTCTTGGATGGGGACAAATCAAGGTCCAAGCTTGCATCTTTATGACTTGAAATGCCTTAAAACGTCTGAAAGGTAATCTTGAAGGCGTAGGAGTACCTCATGCTCACTAATCCCTAGACTTAGGGACAAAAAGGAAGAAAATCATGGCTTAACTAAGATCTAAAGAAACATAAGCCAAGTTTGGAGCTTTATACCTCCAATTGTGCGCAAAGAAGAGGTGAAGTTGGATCCAAAGTCTTGAGAGCAAAGCTTACTCCTTAAAGGTCCTTCACAACCAAGGAAGCACATAATCACTACAAAAAGCTCAAAATGCTCAAAATGAACTAGGGTTTGCAAAGAGGGTCGATCTTGGGATGGAGGTTGATAAACAGAAAGGTCTTTGGGCTATAATGGTGTTTAAATAGTGCACAAACCCTAATTATTAGGGTTTTGGTCTGAACCACGTATGTCTGGTGTACCGAAGTACACACAACATACTGGCTCGAGACATAATACACTCAACGTACCAAAGCGTACGCCCCGCGTACTCGAGCAACACCAAAAAGTCATAGATTTTGACATCAGGGACCCTTATTGCAACAAAACAAAAGTCAAGGGTCCAAAAGCAAACCTTAAAAAAATAGATGTTACACCACCTTTATGAAGCACTAAACTCCATACACATACCTTTGTAACGTTTATATTCCTTTTTCAAGCTTACAACTACCACTTTACAAGTCGAACACTTCTTTACTAACTTAATTACCCGATTTAGGCATCATACTTTGGATAGATGGTCAAATGAACCCTATATCAAGATTAGAGTTTCACCCATATACTATGGTCTTACCACAACATCTCATGCTATTCCTTCCATGTACCTTATTATTCCACACTTCGAGGTCCATGTATGCTTAGTTTATTCAATTAGACATTGTACTTTACATTTCTTGCCAATTGAAGACACCATGAAATAGTGATAGCTCTAAACAACCCAAACTCACCCTAGAGTATCAATAATATCCAATGTGGACTCTTAGGTATTAACATGATGCAAATCGAATTATGGTAAACCAAAACCAATACTAAAACCAATACTGCTACAAGTAATAAGTAATTCATTCATACAAACAAATCCCTTACAGCGTTCGTGCATTATTCAAACAAAAAACACAACGATTGACAAGTTTTTCTTACCAAAAAAAACTATTTAAAACTATTTATAGGATTTTTGAATATTATTCTGCCTGCTCAAGCTCAAATTCCGGTGAAAATCTGAACGTCTCCTGAACCTGAATTGTGTAGTGAATAGCACCGATTGCTCTTTGTTACTTCTTTTCCACCGATTAGAAACATTTCCTGTGAACAATCGAAGGCCCAGATTCATCGTATTCCGCCTTCGCGATCCACATCTGCAATTACATTAAAAAAACCGTTAAATTCCGATGAAATTGTAATCAGAAACAAGAGATCCTTATGGTTAGGGTTAGGGTTAAGAAACTTGCCTGCTGGAAGGTGCTAAGAGATGCCAAAATCGACCCTCCAATCCAGACACTGTACTTCCTCTCCGGCGGAGCCACCACCTTGATCTTCATGCTGCTGGGAGCTAGGGCAGTGATTTCCTTGCTCATTCTGTCAGCAATACCAGGGAACATAGTCGTACCACCACTGAGAACAATGTTTCCATACAAATCCTTCCTAATATCCACGTCGCACTTCATGATTGAGTTGTAAGTCGTCTCATGAATACCAGCAGCTTCCATTCCGATCATCGATGGCTGGAAAAGAACTTCAGGACACCTGAATCGCTCAGCCCCAATTGTAATCACCTGCCCATCGGGTAACTCGTAGCTCTTCTCCACCGCAGAGCTAGTCTTGGAGGTTTCTAGTTCCTGTTCATAATCAAGTGCAATATACGCCAATTTCTCCTTCATATCCCTCACAATTTCTCGTTCAGCAGATGTGGTAAACGAATAACCTCTTTCAGTAAGAATCTTCATCAACGCATCAGTCAAATCACGACCAGCAAGATCCAATCGCAAAATAGCATGAGGAAGAGCATAACCTTCATAGATTGGAACAGTATGACTCACACCATCTCCCGAATCAAGAACGATACCTGCAAAAAGAACCCAAACGGGTCACGGATTTTGGATCCGGTTATGAAACGATGAAGCAACAGAATGAGAGGATTTACCGGTTGTACGACCACTGGCGTACAGTGAAAGAACGGCCTGAATTGCAACATACATAGCGGGAGCGTTGAACGTTTCGAACATAATCTGTGTCATCTTTTCACGATTGGCTTTTGGATTAAGTGGTGCTTCTGTGAGAAGAACGGGGTGTTCTTCAGGAGCCACACGAAGCTCGTTGTAGAAGGTGTGATGCCAGATCTTCTCCATATCATCCCAGTTATTCACAATACCATGCTCAATTGGGTATTTCAGCGTAAGAATACCTCTTTTGGACTGTGCTTCGTCCCCGACATATGCATCTTTTTGCCCCATGCCAACCATAACTCCGGTATGACGTGGGCGACCGACGATGCTAGGGAAAACTGCTCTTGGGGCATCGTCTCCAGCAAATCCAGCCTTCAAAACAAGAAACACAAACACACAGCTTCAGTTGCAACTTGCAAGATCAAGCTTCAATATACCGAAACATTTTGATAATCATACCTTCACCATTCCAGTTCCATTATCGCAAACAAGGGGTTGAATATCTTCCGAGTCGGCCATCTTTTAGTTCCTGGAAGGCAATAAGTCAATTACACCGTTTTTTTTAAATCAATTAAATTGATACAAATCGACTCATTCATTAGATGGGAATCATTCATCTGATGAAATGCAGTTGCTCTTTTCGAAATTTAGGTATTCAAGTATTGATTCTTCGAAAAACTAATTAATCAACGAAAATATTGCATGACGATTTTAATAATGTAAACTAAGTCATCACGGAATTCAACTAGGAACCACGATAACAAGAACATTGAAAGGGTTTCGTGGGTCAAAAGAATCGAAACCATTAACATTGCAAGTTCATACATACAAATGTCTGTAAACGAGAAGAGCAGGCGTCAATTCACGTAGAGATCCATTACGGAAGGGAAAACACATACGCAATCAAGAGCAAATGAATTCAGAGATTGAATAACACTAACCCGTTGGAATTGAAATCCAAGAAAACGATTGCAGGTAGGAGGAAAGAAAGGATGTGGGTTGATTTAAAAACAGGGTAAATGGAGTAAAAGAAAATGGAATGAAAATCGGGCGATGTGGACGACAATCCGTTAGTAAAGAAGGGAAGTGTTTATAGGTGGTAAACAGGTGGTGTGTGTATGCCGGATGAATGAATGGAATGGTCAAGCGACGCCTGATTTCGAGATCTGGTAAAACAGAGGCTGTGGCTTCGCTTTCTTTGTGGCCTTCATTCATAAAAATAGATTTGATTGCATAAATTAAAAATTGATTCTTTGATAAAAATAAAAATAAAAATTGATTTGAAATCATGTTATTTTTACATATAATTTGTTATTCTTTTAGTTGCTATATATCAATTATCAATTGTATTACTTTTGTAAAATTTTAAATAACATGAATCATCAAGGGGGATAATACAATGTTTATTCCAATAAAATAATATATCATTTTTTTTTACATGTTTACCATTTTATACCTCATTAATATCATCTTATATATCAAATTATTGATTATTCATTTTAAATTTTAAATTTCTAATTCTAACTACACTAAATTAATAATATTTGAAAATTAAAATTAATACAAATTAAAAGGTGGTATAATTTCATTTATTTATTAAATCAATTATTATAATTTTATATAACTAAAAAATATTTTTTAATTAATAAGTTATTTAAAATAATGTATTAATAATTTTGAGTTTTTACTATAAAAACTTGATTAATTTTGTAACTAGTTATGAAAGTACACAAATAAACACTGTAAAATTGGGATGTTGGTAATGAATTTTGTTTGAAAAAACAATAGTTTTCAAATATGTTTGAAATATAAATATGAATTTTGTTGAGAAAAGAAAAAAATATAATTTTAATGTGATATTGTTTTAGCATTGGAATCGAGTTATCCAATGGACGTTTGTGTCATTCGGCGAAATATGTGATATTTGAAAAGGAAAAAAGGGAATTTTGATAAACGAGTGTAATACAATATGTGATTTATCACATTTTGTAAAATCTACAAACTCTAATAGCATTGCGTCAAATGAAATTCAAGAAGGAATTAGACTGAAAAGATAAAAGCAAAGTTGTAAATGATGTCATATATCTGACATACTGAAATTACCTTTGAAACCAATACATTAGATGTACAATTCTTATATAGGCATATAACAAGATTTAGTTAAATCCAATAAAATTTGTAAAGATATAGTCATCATAGGCTATTCGGCCCAGAACTTAAAAGAACCTCCTATTTGAATATATCTGCAGATGAGGGTAAGTGGGTACCTGTCCTAATTATTCAGAACCGGAATTGATGGTTCTTAAAATGTTGGAATCGGAATTGACGGGTAGGGGTGCCAATACCATGTACCTGATTCATTAAATTTGTTAAATTTTTAAAACTTAAAAAGTATATTCATTGTAAACTTACAAGAAATTTATTGATATCATTGTAAACTTACAAGAAAGTTATTGGTAAAATCAATATGTAATTAGCTACTTATTAAAAATGAATATTAGAAAATATCAGTAACTTGAATAACATGACGAAAAATATATGTATGGTTCTTGAAACCTATAAATAAACTCCATTGATTTCATATATCTTAAATTCATACTTTTGATATAAAAAATTCAAGCAATTGAAGTTCATAGCTAAACGAATATTTCTATGAGTTAGATTTAACTTGAACATAACAGTACATTATGTTTACTGTCTACAAATTCATTTTGAACATGGTAATTTAAATTCATTTTAAAAATTACACAATAATACCTAAAGGTTAAAAACATATTACATAAAATTCTAGAATTTTAAAAAATTGGTACCCAGCGGGTAACGGTTCCATAAAAATGAAAATCGGAACCGGAACTGGAGGTTCCGAAGCAGTTCTGGCTCCGAAAGTGGGTATGTTGTTCAACTACTCATCCCTTTATACAAAATGAATATTGTAACGTCCCGTTTTACCATAAAATTTTCCATTTTTCATTTAAGTAAACATCCTTTTTTATTAAAAACCATAAGTCTGGAAAATTGATAATGTCAAGTACAATCATCCCAAAAATTTTAGTATCATAAAAATGTGAAATCACAAAGTTGCAAATGGGTGTGTACAATCGAGCCTTCGTCTTTCTGCAATCATCTAAAGTACCCGAAACACATTGAAATCCATATAAGCACGAAGCTTAGAGAGTTCTCAAAAATATCACATACAACACAACATAATAAATAGTTATGGGTTATCAACAACCTTGGGGCTATCAGTAATCTTATGGGTTCACACCAGCCCTGTAGGCTATCAACAACATTGTGTACTATCAACAGTCCTGGAGTTATCAACAACTCAATAATACACATAACAACAATCAACAAACAAGACTCAGATAGTCACCTAAACAACCATAGAGAAGTACTCTCTCGGTCTACACCCTAAAACCCTCAAGTGACTAAAAGTTAACTAGGTCAAAAAGTTAATGGTTAAAGACAGCCCGGCTGACCTCCACGTCATGGCCGCCTATAGGTCATGTCATAGAAGCGTGACCATAACACAGTTACGATGACACTGACCACCACTTCGTGGAAAGCACATTGTCATGTCATGGGAACTGGATTTCACAGGCTAATGGATTAACTCTTAACCCTATATCTCAAGAGTTCCAAAGCCCAAAGATGAACCTTCCCAAGGTCTTGATGGAAAAAGTTTCCAACTTTATCCATTAAGACATCCCAATAACCTAATATTTCTAATCCTAAGCTCTTAATGGTTGCATTCATTGCATACACACCAAAACTAAGTCATGTAAGTCCCTTTTCTTAAATACCACCATGGTCCAAAAATCAAATAAGGCACTCATAGGTTCTTAAGTCCACCCAAACTCCAAGAACAAGAAGATCTAGAGAAATAATGAGCAATATGAGTACTTTGTACCTCTAAAAGACTACAGATGTGGTGAATATGCAATATATAAGTTGGAACCAAGCACATAAGAATCAAATTGGACTCCTCCTTCCTTCAACCTTCATAAAAGTGGCTTCACACACTCAAAACACACACATGGAGGCTGGGATTTCGGTAAGATAGTATCTTAGAGGGTTGAGTCTGCCAAAATGAGGCAACCTTATAAGTTAGTGGTTTTAAATAGGACGCAAAGTAAAAAAAAAATATAGGGTTTGGGACCAAAGCAGCCACCAGGGTCATGGCAAGCACCCTACCACGTCATGGTGCTTCGCAGGTTTGGGTTCCTACAACAACTAATGCCACGTCGTGGCCAAGCCAAAATCCATAAAAATAAATAATTAAATTCGGAAAAACGTACCTAGGACATAAATGTTACAGATATTAATCTCAACTAGGAGTATTTAAAAATTAACCGATCAGTCTAATTGAATATCTATTATTATCCATTATATATCTTGATTAGATATCCAATTAGGCAATTATCTAATTATCCAATTAAAAATCCCTTTAGATATTTACAATGACAATTAAAAGACACAATTTACGATTGAAAATTGGACATAATAATTCCTGAACCTTACTCGTGGTATTATGAATTGTTATTTTGTATTTATTGGAACTTTATCTTTTTGAACTTCTGATATATTGGACGGTTGAATCTTTGAAATGTATATCTTGAAGTTCGTATTCTATTTAAAACTCTTTATGATATTTTGGTTGATTGTAACTGAATATAAAATTCGATGTCTATTAGATGGATCTAACTAGATATGTTCGATAACTGCAATAAATATATGATGGATAAAACTATGACAATCCAATGTTTAGTTGAATCAGTTCAGTTCGATGAAGTATAGCCATGATGGTAGACCGCAAAGACATTGTCAGAATATAAACACATCTTGTGACTGAAATATATAATATTGGGACTCATTATACTAGAAAGCAACCATTCGCATGAAATATATTGTATGATCATAAATAATAGGTTCGACAATCGTGATAAATTTATGGCTTACGTCGATCGGGGAAATCGAGTAATTGTAGTTTGCCATGTTTGTTCATTCCAATATATCTTTTACAAATCGGGATTCAGAAAGAAAAAATTATATATATATATATATATATATATATATATATATATATATATATATATATATATATATATATATATATATATGTCCAAGATAGTCATGCATACTCTATGGATCATAAAGAAATAATTCACTTGTTTTATGGGTTTCGAACTTGCTTGAAGACCAAGAACAAGGGCAACAGAAACAAGAATTATGATCTAATGATTCAAAACTAAAAGATCTAACTCAACAAATCTATGCAACTTGTAGAAGACTGAAACGACCTAAAAATACGTCAAAATTTCATTTAATTTATAAATAAAGGATCATCAATTAATTGATTAAATAAAACGGGTACATTATGATCAGTATAAATCCCAGGTCAAGCCAAATGCGGAACAATAAGTGTGTGTTCCATGCAGTCAACCCGAACTCATCGTTTGAAAAACCGAAGTACCTGAAACATAAACTGAAAACCTTAAGCACAAATCTTAGTGAGTTCCGCAACATACCACATACCAAACATACAATAACATATAGTTGTTGGGTTTTAGTTCAAAAATAGTTTCATAAACTTGAAAAACTATGGCAATGGAAGACTTTAATTTTGAAATAACATAAACATTTTATACCCACCAATGATCTTGCAAGTAATAGAAAGATTTAAACAACAACCAAGGAAAAGATGAAGAAATAACAACCTTTGTAGTTCTTTGGGTCCTCTTGGTAGGCTTGGAAGTTGATGAAGAATGTGGAACCTTTGAGACACCAACAATGACTCAACTTGATGTAAATGCTAGTCTAAAACTTTTAAACCCTTATGCTTTAAGTTCATAACCAATATGAACTTAAAGAGGATATATGAAAGCAAGTAATCTCATAGTCTTTAAAGCAAAACTAGAGAGAATGAGAGAGTAAGAAGAAAGTTTTGGCCACTTGCAAGAAGTGAGGAATGAGCACATTAACCAAATGTCGGCCTCTTATTTATAGGCATAAAATGAAGTTATTAACCATTAGTCCTTAGCACTTTAAGCAAACTTGTCCCCATTGTCATAAGCTTGTTTCCCATGCTTTCAAAGCATGATTAGGCGATTCATACACTTCTTCTTTTTATGCATGTCTCGAAAATTGCATAAAGAAGAAGAAAGAAAGTCAAACTTTTATAAACTCTTTTATAAAATATAAGCATTGTCTTTT